TCCCGTACCCTATAAATAAAAAACGAAGTAATCCGTGTGACATCGCCAGATTTTGATTTTGAAACAACAAGCGTGATTGGATAACGATGTTAAAAGGCACATAGCTTGCATTTCATTGGCTCCCCTTATGCACACTGACACGACCGGATGTTTACAAGCAAGCAGTGAAACTGTTTCCATGATACAGTGCCCAGACTAGATTTTCTCCAATTTTTTAACAAAATATCGCGCACAGGACATCACATCATGCGGGACAATCGCTTGTTTTGCGTAACCACTCCCCCCTGTAAATTTGTGAAGTGTGGGAACCCATTTTCTATTGTGTGTATCCCGCGATCGCGCAGCCCAGAGTTATCTCTGGTGATGGCTACCGTTTGTGCTGATCGGTCATTCGTGTTGGCTCCATTTATTATTGCAGGCAGGTAAGAGGCAACTAACGGGATCGGGTGGTCAGGCCTGCTGACTTGCTTAACACATGTCATCGGTTCCCAATTGTGCAGATCGATGCTCAGGTTGTTGATCACTGGGATGTCTGGTCCAGACTTGATTATTTACAGATCACTGCCATATAGCTGGAATTTTGCTGAGTGTGGCGTAAAACTAAACTCACTCACTCACTATTGCAGGCAGACTTATTCTTATTGTTACATAAATTTTGATTACACGAAAAAAGAGGAAGACTTTTTATAACTTCCGAAAAAGTCACTTTATCACCATGTAGTTTAACTTTAGTGTAATTTTAGATTATTTTCTCGATGTCAGACAATTTTGAAGATAAAGGCATTTGATAAAAACAGCTGTAATAAGATATGAAGATCGCACATAACATTGAAATTTTTAGATGTATTATATATAGTGACGGCTTTAGTTATTTAGCAGAATACGACGAACCGGAAATGATATGCCCGATATTACTTTGCATGGGTATAAATAAAGTTCAACATGTGCTGAAAAACGATGTGGAGCGCCTCATATCCTATCAGCAATAGCATGTATGTATTGCATTGATTTCAACCATTTATTAATATTTAGTAATCCAAAAACATACCAGTTCAGATGCATTATAATACATTATGAAGGTACCGTTATGTCATTTTCGGGATAGATACGTTCATGTCAACATGCCACTTCAAAACAGTTTGCATCGAGGCCGAGTAATTGACAAGTTGTCAAGTTAAAATCGAAAGAGGTTTTAATGTTACATGAAATGGAAATTGTTTGTTGCATTTTGAGGCTTCCTTGACCATTCTTGTTCTAACTTCAAAATGGTACACTTTGTGTTTTTTTACTGAAGTTTCTATTAATATATTTTCTGAAATTCCTCTTTGAACGTGGTCAACAATATTGCTGTTACAAATACTTTAATTACTTTATACATACAGTTGTTAGTAAGAAAATAGAAAAAAATAATTATGTTTTGTATTGTATATTTTTGAACATATTACATTATTTCATAAAATTGACATACTGGCTAGCGAACAGTTATCGCCATATTTTAGCGGTATTTACAAAATTACTGTGCCGTTCATTAAATTAATGAAACAGAATGAATTATGATACTTAATTAGCTATTCACCGATGTGTCCAGCCCATTCACTGCCACCGGTCATGTTTTTATATAAGGCGACGGAAGGGAATCATGGCAGTATAAATAGTTTTCTCACAACTAACAGTAACAGTTATCGCCATTCAGAATTTCTCATGCCATTCGTGAAATAATATATATTTATATCATACAGTAACCTCGAATAATTGATTGTGTGACTATTTGAGTGTTTCTTTTACAGTAGATTGATAGGGAATGAATCAATTAATGACTTGTGAACTTGAACTTGATATTATATAGGTCGTGGAACATCCCCCGACTAAGTTTAAAAAAATTATAGGGTTCATAACTTTCACTTTAATTTTTCTCTTATGTTACTTGCCATGAAGAATTTTCTTTTGCTGTCCCTTATTGTTGTCAAATACCCTGGGGGAAAATACCGGAAATGTAATTGTCGGGAACTGCGCGATAACTGTTACGGCGTTGTATTGGTGATAACTGTTCGCTTGGCAAAAACTGTTCGTTAGCCAGTATATGTTCACAGGAGAAAACTAACAAAAAACAAAACTTTTCATATGGGTAAGGGTATTCTAAAGTCACCATCCATGATTAAAATGGAACAAAAAGTTTGTAAAATTGCAATGGATAAAAACACTGTGCTCATATTTCAGCCTATAATGGAAACACCCGACAGTTAATGAGCAGAGGGAGTATCACGTGACATGACATCATATGTGCCTGTTTCTGATAGCTTCCTCTTTGATTTTACCTCACAACTTAACAGTGTCTATGGATTCTGATGCAATAAAAGATGTTCCTGGTGTCATTTCTGAAATGGATGTTTGACCGTATCAATAACGATCCGATTTTACATCTTGCAAGACAAACTTCCAGTAAAGATAAAGAAAAAGAATCATACATGTTTCTGATGACTTTATCTTTCATCCAGCAAATTATTGCATTTGTCTAGTATTCTCCTTTTAATGAAATGATCCTGAAACAGTTGAATTACTTCACTGGACCTCAAGATCAAGACAGCATCAGAAATGTCTTGAGAAATGAAGATATATCACATTTGCCATGGATGTTTAGTTGTGATTTAAAGTGAAGTGTACTTAAGTTTTGAAACTACATGTGTTAATGATATATGTTTGTGAAGATAAGAATATGCACTTACCTTGCTTACCACTGCGTTAAACATCAGATGACTAAGGCTAACTGGATGCAAACTACGACAGGGTTGTATGGTATTGTGCCACTAAAGCAACTATGTATATTTCATGCTTTGAATATGATTGTATAAATGATTGTATGCATGAAACTGTCACAGACCTTACTATACGTGTGACATGATATCTCTGTCATCAGTGGTAAGTCAGCTTAAACTCAAACTGCCTGGTCAGGCCCTGTCTGTCACAGTCGAGGCCTGACCACCTGGCAGCTACTCAGTGTAATTAGATGGTTGGCACCAAGCATGAATATCTCAAGATGAGTGCCCCTTTAAAATGGCACTAGACAACCAAAGGTTGGACAAAAAGTTGGAATATTGTTTCCCTACCTTGGTGTCATTACCTTATGTAAAACATAAGTTGGAAAACGACAATTGCTAAACACAGAAGATCAAATGTACACATTCAGATGTACTTAAGTGATATTCTGTAAGGAAACCTCATGAGCTAATAAGTAGTAGGTCAGTGTGAAAATGTCAGTGTTAATTTTTAGCTCTTTTCACTGATTGCTAGAGTCGCATGAATGGCGTCAATCAGGGTTTTATACAGACTTTTAAAATGGAAGTCATGGTGACTCTCAATATCTATTTTTGGGAGTCATTTTCAATATTTGGGAGTCATGAAAATTTTAATGTTTCTTTGTGTTGATCATTCTCAGTATGTAACTGTGTATGTCACACCACCAAATGAAACTACAGCATTGTTCAATTCAAACAGCCAGGATTACTGTCTCCTCTGAGTTCTCTGGAACAATCTGACAGCTCTGTAAAAGTCAAGCTATCATCGAACAATATCATTTTTTGGTTATCAAATCGCTTTTATTGAGCTGAATTGTGAGGGCCACGAATAAAACTTGCATCAAACTTGATAATACTTTGAGAGTCGTTTACAAAATTGTTGTATCAAATACGCAGGAATCAAACGTCCTGTAAAACCCTGGTCAATTTGAGCTTGTGTTCTGGTCCTTCCTTGTGCATTGTCCATCCCTGCATGAACAATTATAATGTTTTTTCATAAACTATGATTGGGATGAAAGTTTGCATCCATTTGTATTTATTCATGATAAATAATTTTTGGAAAGTACCACAGAAAATGATATTGGTCATCAGATGCTACTCGGTTCCAGTGTATAAAATATTGCCCCTTTCACCATCTGTGATGGTCTATTTCTGTGAAGGACGGTCTATTAAATAAGTAAGGGCGTCCTTTGGTCGGGGGGAAACATCTTAAAAAATAAACTGAACAAGGTTTGAACTTCGTCTCAGAAATCAACTTATATCACATATGACACATATCCATCAAATTAGACCAACTCTTTTCAAGCTACTTCCATATTTCTGTATGTAAACTGTATTTCCTCTAATAAACGCCCGGGAGCTTATTTTTCAAGGGACTTTTAGACCCAGCGCTTATTAGAGGCCCGGCGCTTATTGGAGACTCAGTGCTTATTGTGCTTCGGGGACTGAGATGTGTGGCACCTGTAGGAATCCCAACTTAAGACACCTTCCAAATGTAACGATTACATAATATCCATCAGCCTGTGCCATGTGGAGGACAGGAAGTTATGACTATATAGACCATTCCTTAATAAATCTATTTTTGGATCAAGGGAGAATACATTTTTAAAAAAAGGTACCACTGGTGCTTATTAGAGACCCCGGCACCGTTTAGAGGAACTACAGTATATGAAATTGGAAATTTTGGAGAGTGTATAATACATATTGTGATCAAAACAACAATTGTTGATTTTTTATTGGTTTAGTTTTTGGGACTGGCTGTGTTTGTTCAGGACTGGTCACTTTATATCCCCCTGGCATGTAATGCGGGGGCATATAGTCGATGCCTCGTCTGTCTGTCCGTCCGTCCGTCTGTAATCATTTTTGTCATTTTTATTTTCCTCAGTTTCCATTTTCAATGTCTTTCTTCAAGACTTGGCAGATATATCAAACAGATCTTGAAGTGGTGCCTTTTGCTATTTGCAGAGTTTTGGCATTTATACTTTTCCTGATTTCCATGGAAACGATTTGGACTTAGTCCAAAAAATCAAGTTGGACTGGGCCGGGGGGATTTGTCGTCTTCTGATGACTTGTTTGGACAGTCATTCCTTGGACAGGCCACATTTTAAAACTACTTATATTTTATACACTGGTACATCATGACTGGATAGACGACCATGTCATGTTGGTCAAAATGAATTTGCTTAACATGTTTTTAATTTTTAACAGATGATCAACATCGGCTGTATGTAGCCTTTCAGTCACTGACTTAGAAGAGGGTACACTTTATTGACTGCTGAAGAAGCACTACCTTGGTACTTCACTAAAAGTCAGAGTTTCCTAGAACTTCACGAAGGATAAATTACTAAACTTTTTACATTTATATATTTGCTTGAGATGGCAACTGTATGCACACCCATGGACACAAGTGGATTACTTGCATAGGCCCTTTGGTCATTGTGCCACAGCTGTCTTGGAATTATCAACCTAATTCAACAACTACCAGTACGGATTTGCATAGTTGTACTAAACATAGTAAGGTTCGACTTATACCTTTGACTTATAAGCCTAATTTAACAGCTACCAGTACGGATTTGCATCGTACTTGTGGCAATTATAGTAAGGTTCGATTGAAAGCTGTGAGTTATAAGCATAATTTAACAGCTACCAATACAGATTTGCTCCGAACTTGTGGCAAACATAGAAAGGTTCGACTGAAGGGATCATATTTTGGTCAGTCAACACAAGCTGAAATTGTCAAGACTGTTCTGCGTTGAAGTATATACTGCAACTGATGATTGTTAACTAAAAAGCTATTTTAGTATAACCTACACTGGCGATGGCAATTGCAATGTCGTTAGAGCAAGACTATTTCCCTCGTCTCATCAGGGGTCCTGCTTTCACGCCAGGTGAAGACATGAGGTTTGAGGCACTCGCGTCTTAAAACATATGAACACTGGTTGGCAAATGACCGTGCTAGTCCAATCAGGTTGGCCAGAGCTGGGTTCATTTTCACTGGGAATGAAGATGTTGTGAAATGTTTTTCTTGTGATCTGGTTAAAGGAGACTGGAACAAGAACATGGATCCGTTGATAATACACAGAGAGCTGAGCCCAGCATGTAGCTTTTGTCAAGGCCTGGCTGGAGTTAATGTTCCAGTCTATGTCCCAGAACCAGCTGTCTATCAGGAGATCCTGAGCACCCTCCACAGACAATTCTGTGGCACCAACTCGACAGCGATCACCAGCAGCAACATCTCTCATCAACTCCAAGACAATCCAGATTTTTCCAGCGCCACCTTCAGGCAGAATCAGCCAACATCAACTCAGACGAACTTCCCTGTTGTTGCTACAGACTCTGGTGCAGCAGAAACGAGTCGCCAGGCTATTGGGACGGCTGGAGGACTTGGGCTTGGACATGATTCCGAAGCTACTCCGACCAGAGAGGAATTTGCACCCATGAAGGAGGAAACCAACCGTTTCTCCAGCTTTGATGCCAACTGGCCAAGACAGAACACCCCAGACCCCAGAGATCTGGCCCGAGCTGGATTCTACTTTACAGGGACCGTTGATCGCGTACAATGTGTGTTCTGTAGAGGAATCCTTCGCAACTGGGATGAGGACGATGTCCCAATGGAGGAACATCGGAGACACTTTCCTATGTGCCCATTTGTCATGGGTTTGAATGTTGGAAATGTCCCAGACCCTGCGTCTATCATATCTGCCAATAGATCATCTGAGTTCATGAACGTGACCCAGCCAGCTGCTGTTGTCAGTGATGCCAGCTTGGGGATTGTCACTGATCGTCCCAGACATCCACAATATGCAGTGGAAGCTTCCCGAGTCAGCTCCTTCCGAAACTGGCCCAGTGGAAAGGAACAGACTCCCGAGATGTTGGCAAAGGCTGGCTTCTTTTATGCAGGTAGGTCTATTTGCGCTTAAACTTCTGATATAAATTTCAGTAGATTTGATTTTTGTATGGTCCTCAAAGATAAATGTGATGAAAAGGTCAAAGATCAAGGTCACAAGTTATTAACGAAAACAATTTGTGGTTTTCCATTATCCAAAATGTAAAACTTAGTTACCACCAAACTTGCAATAATATGATACCTTCTTTAGGATGGATATATTTGGGTCGACATAGGTGGAGATAATCCAATTTGTAAGCCATGCTCATGATGCCAAGACATTGCTAGCTGTTTCATCTTTAGTTTCAGGGAAAAGGCTATTGGAAATACATTTTATGTTTATGTTCACAGGTTTTGGTGACAGCGTGAAATGCTTCTTCTGTGATGGTGGTTTGCGCACCTGGGAACGAGGCGATGACCCCTGGGCTGAGCATGCCAGATGGTTTCCTCGCTGTCCATACGTGCGACAGGTCAAGGGCGAGAGCTTCATCCAGACAGCTCTAGGTGGACGAGAGGTATGTCTCATCTTTAATTCCTATCCTCTTGTTGTGATGTATGTGTCCTTTTTGTTGATGATTGTGGTGTATGTGCTTTCATGAGATATATGATTAAGATGCACTGGTTTATATTTCTGAATTCGCTGTTTCAGCCATCAGCTGGTTCTGCAGGGGACAACACTGCCTCGAATACAGGTAGGAACATCAGTTTGTGAATAGGTATAACTTGCAGCCTCCTGAATAGGTTTGGTTCTAACGAATAATATTGTATGGAAAACAACGTCTTGTTTACTGCATAGAGTGATGTTTCGGTGTAGATTCTTATAGTTATAGTTTTCAAGCTAAAAGAGGCTGTGGACTCTGCAACTTTGAGAATGCTGATCAAACAATCATGTTTGGCTCTGTGGAAGACATATTGGTTCACTTTTCCATATGTCCCTCTTTTGTCCCTTATTAATATCTCTGTACTCATTTGCTATCTCAGGCAGAGACAATAAAATGGACAGCAGCACAGCTGTGCGGACCTTAGACCCGCGAGAGTTGTCTGCCCGGATGGACAGTCCCATGGTGCAGGCAGTGCTGAAGATGGACATTCCCCGAGACAGAGTGGCCAAAGCCATACAGAACAGACTGCAGGAGACAGGTAAAGCCACATATTGTAATATACTCCAGTTTTGTCTCCATGGTGACAGTCAACATCAATGTCCACACTTGTGGTTAGTTACTGATGATGGAAGGTGATCCTGAATGTCCAGCAAAAGCTGATGCATGTTCATGCAGGACAGACTACAAGAGACAGGTACATAGCTTTCCAGCGACAATAGGATTTTGATATTCGATAACCAACTATAAATGCATGGAGCACAAAGGTTTTCAAATGTTAGTGTTGTTTATCATAAGGCTGATCATCTGTTGTGTCATCAGAAGGATATCTTGGTACAAAAAGAAGCAGATTGCTGATAAGATGTGAACTGATTGTTAACTACTGTAATCGTTATATATTTTCACGGGGTGTAATTTTGGCGGAAAGTTCACAAAAGGCCTGTTAGCGCAGTTGTTTTTTCGCGCATTTCAAACGCCTGAGTGATGGTATTCATGACAACGTTTTCACAACCGATAGTCATGCAATGATCAAAGCTACATTGTGTTAAGGAATAACCGGTAGGCGAACATCTGGAGTTCTTGACATTGTTTGATCACGTAATTTGTAAACATGGACCGGGAATAATTACTTTGATGTTGTTATCTGAGAGAATAGACAAATTACCTGATGAAGGGACCTGGAATGGTCTCGAAACGTCATGAGAGAAATTAAAAAGAAGTTTAATCCATAAAAATATCTTGGACATCAATGTACAACTTCTAAATGCCACTGAAAGACAAAATTACATGTTGTTCCTACTTGAGTATTTGTCATGACTTCTCCATGAATATTTCGCTTGGTATGATTATTGGCGCACAATCATTTTGCGCTAAAAGCTGAAAATTAATCCCACGCGAAAATAACTATGATTACAGTATTGAGTCTCGTACTTACGGAAGTGACTGTGTGATATTTGGTGACGCATGCGTGAGAAAAACGTGCTGAGGGCAGTTGACAAGTGACAGGACGGACTTCGGACTTGACCGAGTGACGTGCATTGGCAAGAGCCAGGAAAGGCCAGACATGTGGTAAAGTGTGAGTCTATTTGACTTTACACTGATGATATAAGTGTCAAACTGCTGTAAACATATTAAGTAGACTTTGGTGGCTGTACCATACATGTTGTGGGAAAGATGGCATAAAGGGTTATTTGTTCTCAGACAGTAGGAGATATCTAGTGTCACAAGTTTTGGAAGAGCGGGTCATAAATGGCACAGTGTGTATAATTGTCTCCCTAACTTGTGCCAGGTTCATCTGTAAAGCCCATTTCTGGTGTCCCCCGCTGTGATATTGCAGGAATATTGCTAAAAGCGATGTAAACCTAAACTCACTCACTACTTGTGAATGTTGCCCTGATAATAATACCCATTTGCTATCTAATGCCTTTATCAGGGTGTCATGTGAGTGAGAAGCAGATCTTTCTAAATTCTCTCTCTGGTGACAGGTGATGACTTCACCAGTGTGGAGAACCTGATGGAGGCCATATTTGCTCTGCCGGACACAGACCCAGCTCCGACGGATATGGCAGCACAAACAGCTTCCAAGTCTGCAGGGAGTGTTGCCCGCTCTCAAGGAGACAAACAGATGGCAGACAAAGATCTTGATATTGGTAAACATTATATTAAGTACCATGTTGTATTGCAACAGTTGTGAATGAACTAGGGTCCAAGTCCCCAGGGAGTGTTGCCCACTCTTAAGAAGACAAAAACAGATGCTACAGTTGTGAATGCACCTCTACCTGGGGTGTATTCCTACAGTTGTGAATGCACCTCTACCTGGGGTGTATGGCTACAGTTGTGAATGCACCACTACCTGGGGTGTATTGATACAGTTGGGAATCTGCCACTACCTGGGGTGTATGACTACAGTTGAGAATGCACCTCTACCTGGGGTGTATGACTACAGTTGAGAATGCACCAGTACCTGGGGTGTATTCCTACAGTTGGGAATGCACCAGTACCTGGGGTGTATTCCTACAGTTGGGAATGCACCAGTACCTGGGGTGTATTGCTACAGTTGTGAATGCACCTCAACCTGGGGTGTATGGCTACAGTTGTGAATGCACCAGTACCTGGGGTGTATTGCTACATTCGGGAATGCACCACTACCTGGGGTGTATTGATACAGTTGGGAATCTGCCATTACCTGGGGTGTATGACTACAGTTGAGAATACACCTCTACCTTGGGTGTATGACTACAGTTGAGAATGCACCTCTGCCTTGGGTGTATGACTACAGTTGAGAATGCACCTCTACCTGGGGTGTGTAACTACAGTTGTGAATGCACCACTACCTGGGGTGTATGACTACATTTGAGAATGCACCTCTACCTGGGGTGTATTGATACAGTTGGGAATGCACCACTACCTGGGGTGTATGACTACAGTTGAGAATGCACCAGTACCTTGGGTGTATTGCTACAGTTGGGAATGCACCACTACCTGGAGTGTATGACTACAGTTGAGAATGCACCAGTACCTTGGGTGTATTGCTACAGTTGGGAATGCACCACTACCTGGGGTGTATGACTACATTTGAGAATGCACCTCTACCTGGGGTGTATTACTACAGTTATGAACTAACGCAAGGCAAGTACATACCATCGGTCAACGGCTAACACAGGTCCTTATCAATAGCTATGCAACACTGTGAAACCTATTTTCGTCATAGGTGACTACTCAAAAGAAGTTAAAAGAACACATGATTCTTTCATGTTACTATAGATAGTCTGTCATTGCTAGAGTTCAGTTGCTGTGAGGTCCTCCATGTTGTCAGTACCTGACCGGATGTGTATGTTGCAGGTGAGAAGGGAGAAGACTCTGAGGAGAGAGCTATGGACGACTCCAGTGATGAAGGTAGGCACCACTCTAGACAGATGTTTTATAATTTACAGATATATTCTGTAGAAGCTATAATATGAAACAAATATGCTGGCAGGAAATTCTGAGCAGTTTCACCGTTGTTCCAAGGCCATTGCAAATGATTAGAGTTAACAGTTGTAGGTATTATTTTCAATTTAGCACGGCCACCTCAGAAGCCCGAAAGGGCCACTGGAGATGGAAGAGAGGTTTGGCGGCCTTGGTGGCATATGTTTTTGTAACATCTTCAGATGTGAATGACTGATTGAGTCGGTTATAAATGGTATCACCAATTAATATTAAATATGGCAACTACAGTTGGATGTTTTATTGTCTAAGATTCTTGAATTTCCAAAAGATCTGTGCCGCTCAAAGTAAATGTTGAAGTATATGATTTTGTTCAAAACATTTTGATTTGAAGTTAAATTATAGGAGGACACATGTAACAAGTTACTTCCAGGAAGTATAATTCATATCATCTTTAAATATGCTGTGCGGTCATTGTCTCTACATTTTCATTTCCTTTGTGTTTGACTTGACGATATTGAGGTCAGTGGAACACTTGTACAATGGATTTGTATAGATATCAACCCAATTTGACTAAACTTGGTTACAGAGTCACCACTGTGTGTGCATTTGTAGTATTTATGTATGGTTCTGTTTGAATGTGAGATGATGTTGGCATGGGTTAGTGATGCCACCATTATTCAAATAAGCATGTTGAGCTTAAAACCATCATCTCTGAAGACTCCAGAAAACTTAGCAGTCGATAATGGTTTTATATTATACTTAACTACATACGAGTGTAGTTGGTGGTTTGCTCATGGTGCTTACAATCTTCTTCCCATATCTGTGCAAAGTGAGTGAGTTGAGTGAGTATGGTTTTACGCCACTTTTAGCGATATTCCAGCAATATCATGGTGGGGACACCAGAAATGAGCTTCACACATTGTACCCATGTGGGGAATCTAACCCAGGCCGTAGGAGTGACGAGCTAGGCCACTAGGCTACCCCACGGCTCATATTATGTGCAAAGGCAACCAGGAAGAACATATATGTGCAAAGGCAACCAGGAAGAACATATAGAAAATCCCACCATAAACCGACAGGATTCAGTTTCCTATGAGTTGTGTGACAAGGAAGTTGTGGTCCAACAGGCAGTCCCAATGTACACTGATACTTGTATTAACTTGATCTAATCATGGCTGGTTAACTGTAGAAATCAGATATGTAACACTCCCTCTGTGTACTTCCTCAAAATATGCTGTTGATTTAAGCACCAGGTTATATCTGCTTACAATTCACATGGCTAACATCAGGAAGTGTTGACAGTTTTTAAAGCCGTGAGTGATTGAGTGAGTTTAGTTTTATGCTGTTTTAAGCAATATTCTAGCAATATCATATACCCATGTGGGGAATCGAACACGGTTATTTGGCACGACAAGCGAATGCTTTAACCACTAGGCTACCCCACAGCCCCTCATAGAGGCTAGAAATATATATCCAAAATTATGAGATAAAACTCTGCATTATGAATGGAGAGAAGGTGGCAGAAGGGTATTTACTGTAGGGTAATATTTGGTGTTAATATGATCTTAAATAGGCCTAGACTGAATACTGTCTTCAATGTGGCAGTCAGGTCATAAAGAGATGTTTAATTGCAATCAAACACTAAAAGAAATCAATATTCAATGTAATTCCTATTTAGGTGGATAACTTGATCAGTGAGTTATATTGAGACACTGAACTTTTGTGGATTTCATTACTCATTATTTCATTTTTCTGTCCACCTGTCCATTCATGTCTGTCTGTTCATCTGTAATATTTTGTCTGCATAACATATGTACTTATAGGTATTCTTTCATGAAATTTTGCACATGCAAAAGACCAGGTTGGCAACTTGTGCTTTTGCTTGATAGGGATTTTAGAATTTCCTTTTTTAACATTTTCATGGCAACAAGTTTGACTTAATTATCAGGATATGATTTTCAAGGGCATAAATCTAGGACTGCTGGATTTCTCCAGTACGCACAGAATAACCAGTTTCCATAACATTGTTTTGATATCTCAGAAACTTTTTTTGTTTGCAGAAAGACAGATAAGATAGGAATGCTGTCAAACTTCTGAACATATCACTTTTGTTTGACTTGCTGAAATATCAGATGATTTTTCTTTTGCATTTTGTAGCACCCAGGGAATTAGTCATGTTGTGATGACTCCTGTTCGTGTGTATAGTCATTGTCTTAAGATGTGAAAATGCAATGTATTTTCTAAGAACCATCTTTGTTGCAGATTCACAATCGCTCATGGAGGAAAATCGTCAATTGAAAGAACAACGTCAATGCAAAATATGCATGGATGAAGAAGTGAACGTAGTGTTCCTCCCGTGCGGGCACTTAGTCTGCTGTGCCACATGTGCCCCTGCCTTGAGGAAGTGCCCCATTTGCAGGGCAAACATCCGGGGCACCGTCCGTACCTTCATGTCGTGATGAAGGCCTACAATGACCATATTCTGTGTGATAGTGAAGCTTGGTCAACTCTGTATATACATTACTCAACAAGGGCTTGTAACACAATACAATTGCTGCTAGATGATTATGGTCAGAACCAGTGTCAGTTATGAGTAAAAGGACAGAACTGACAACGGTTGTGAGCATACATGTTGTTCTTGCTAAATTTGGCAATATCAGCCCTTGTGCATTACACAGTACACAAGCTGTTTGACATTGCTGCTGCTCACGTGAATACACAAACACTTTAAATAGAGCATTTGTAATATGTTGTATACATCAGTAACCTGTTGTTGTCTTGTTTATCATAAAGGAAGTTGACATACCTCACTGTTACACAGAATATGGTAATAATTGGTGATATTCTCTGTCTGTCAAATTCTATTCCTGTTCTTAATAGCTTTGCTGTGTATATACCTGTAGCATTAAAAGGCTTCATTGAAACTGCCTCCTGCTTGTGGTCTGAGGTCAACTCTTTTGAAGCAAGCCACTGTGTATAGCTCTGTAGCATTAAAAGGCTTCATTGAAACTGCTTCCTGCTTTTGGTCTGACATCAACTCTTTTTGAAGTAAGCCACTGTGTATAGCTCCGTAACATTCAAAGGCTTTATTATGACATTGCTTCCTGCTTGTGGTCTGACGTCAACTCTTTTTGAAGCAAGCCAATGTGTATAGCTCCGTAACATCCAAGTGAAAGGCTCAGATGAACCTGTTTCCCATTTTGTATGCAACCTTCACAGTTAATGAGGTAATAATGCAGGTAGAATTTTTAACTTGTTCAAGATCTCAACAATACCCTTTATTACATGATTCAAAAATATATAAAATGTAATATATTTTTCCACTTCTCTGGCATGTTCCGAATCAGGGAAGACCTGTGCAAGCATTGTTTAAGTTCAATTGTTTATTGCATTTTCCTAGGGTTTATGAGATATTATGCTGGCTTGATCTAGGTTCACTCTGGTATCCTCTCAATGTTGTCCCCAACCTGACCCTGCTTATTTCAGACCTGTCTTCTGTCTGCTTACCATGAACTCTTCATGCACTACTTGAATCTGACAAACATGTAAGAATTTCACCAATTATATAACGTCGTATTCCGCAATGTTCCAGCTATATAACGGCGGCTTTTGATAATCAACCAGAAGGTCATTCATATTGTCTGGGGCACACCTTGACACTCTGGTATTTACCGTCTTACAACCAGTTGCTGGGGAGATATTTAACCCTTAAACATCAAAGAGGCATTAACAGAAGTAATTTCACCAAGGGACTACTGGACACCTTAACATCAGGTAAAGCTTTTTTTGTGTTTTTGTTTTTTTTGTTGTGGCTTTTCCCGTTTGTTATGTGGAAAAATCCTAAGGAGGATGTTGAGTGTAAGCTTCGAATCTTGAGCATTTTTAAGAATTTTCACAAAACCTCTGAGCATGCTTTTCAAACATTCAGTGAAGTTAAACTTGTGTAACATTCTCCTTTGAAGTGATATAGTTTCTGCAGCCTTTTATTAATTTATGTGCATTATTTCAAAATTTGGAGTCCAAGGTATTTGTTGTTGGATATGATCATAGCGAGGAGTATTATGGTATATTTATGCAACACACTAAATGAGTTGGCATGTGAATATATATTTAATATGAAAGCTACCGTGTGTAGAAAAACAAGACGTTTTTTATCAGTAACACTCCATGTCATAGTGTTGTATTATCATTGTTCTGCTCATAATTTGTGAAAAGGATCAAATCAAAACGTCTTTACTTTTTAGTTTCAACTGAATTTCAATAAATACTTGTTTTATCTTTCCAGATAGGTGATTGGAGTGCATTGTAGAGGAGTGGGTCACAGATGTGATAGCTTGCAACACACATATACACTTCACAACATTACCTTGGGTTTTATCTGTACCAGCATGACCAGGTTTGCTGGAAGCTTGGTAGACACATGGCAGCCTATTATGCTCAGTTACAAGTCTTTCTGTATTATTTGGATTCACTGAAAGTAGCGTCTGCAGTTATGATGAACTGTGTGTTTGGTGATGAGTGTAATGGTTAGTCATTTGTGGGTATAGAGCTAATGAGTGAGGGGTACTGTTTAGACTTGCCTATATACAGTACTAATTAGTAACCTGCTTTTCAAACACCATTGGCTCATTGAAACTGAATTAAATATCACGTTTCTTTTTGAGTTACCTCCCTTGTTGCACATTTCCATAGTATCATTGAGGTCATATTATGAAAGTAGTTAGACTCCCCAGTAGTATTTGATCTGTTGCTACATTTGTTATAAATTTCATTTTGTCCCTTTCGCTTCACTGTTTTTATTCTGATGACTTGTTTTTAAATAGTAAAGTTGCCGATCTTTTAAGTAAAATATCCGAAAGTTGAAACAGCCAATTTTTCGTTTAAGCCCCATAGGTTGCAAAGTTACATAGTATTGAGGACTTGCCGAACTTTTTTAGCAGCAATAATGTGAAAGCCCGGGCTTTTTTATAATTATAGCTACGCCCCTGGAAGGTGGTAAAGTGATGGAATTTGGGAACCAAAGCGCTTCTCTGTGTTCGTTCGTTCCCGTTCCTTCGTGCGCTTCTCGCGTGTGCGTGCAGTGTGTGACCAGGTAGTTCCCGCTAAGATATTACGAGACAGAACATTGAACATATATCGGCCCGGATACTATATGTGGCTGAGACCAAACCGCTTCTCTGAAGTAGACGCACAGTGTCCAAATGATCATGGTTCCCGCTAAGATATTCCGACACAGAACGATGAACATATATCGGACCAGATACCACATGCGGCTGTGGCAATAATGTAGTTTCCTAATCTGCTCAGCCGGCAGATGAGACGGGAAAATAATGGACGTGTTACCTGAGCAGAAGAGACTGGAAAATAACGAAGTGTTACCTGAGCAGGTTCGAAATGTGTATTTGGATAGCCCAGTGAGTGGGTCACCATGCTACAGATGCACTGATTGATCACTGAGTTTGGTTTTACGCCGCTTTTAGCAATATTCCAGCAATATGACGTGGGAGGGCTTTACCCATGTGGGATTCGTCCGTTTCGGCGTGACGAGCCATTTACCATTATGTCGGTAAACTGGCTTGATAAACTTGTTGAAATTTGTTTCAGATTTCTATTTTGGTTTATAACCCATAAAACTCTTTCCGTTGGCTTCGGTTAAACGTATAAAAACATTTGTAGAGGGACAAACCATCACCCTCGAGATTATTTTTTTACCTTGTTTTATCCGTTGATATATTCCTTTTCATCAGTATTTTATCACCAACCGCAACATAGACCAGACACCTGTCAGCGCATTATGCATTTGTACATGTTGTGTTGTACACGATTAAAATGTGGTAAATTTACATCTTACTTTGAAAGTTTCGGGACTTACGTAGATATACTTGGTATGTGTATGGGGTCGAGTGCATGAGAGGCACTAAGATATGCATCTCAATATCCGTGTCCTCCCTCTCGGGACCCGTGAAGGTCCGGGTTAGAATACTGATCTTCAGTAACCCATGCTTGTCGTAAGAGGCGACTAACGGGATCGGGTGGTCAGGCTCGCTGACATGGTTGATACATGTCATCGTATCCCAATTGCGTAGATCAATGCTAATGGTGTTGATCACTGGCTTGTTTGGTCCAGACTCGATTATTTACAGACCGCCGCCATATCATGGAATATTGCTGAGTGCGGCGTAAAACTAAACTCACTCACTCACCCTTATACTGTGACTGACGGGATCTTAGTACTATACCCATATGTTTGTCCTCATACAGAGATTTATCTAATTCTGACATATACCTAGCCACTCGACATATTTCATGATGCGATATTGATGTGAATAAAGACATAAAACGATGACTATCTGTCCATGTTGGTTATTCCTCTCATTGCTGTTGTCGAACCCATTCGAAAGGATGGTAGCATAATTACACCACCTAATACAACTTGCAATAACTATTTCCCAAGTGGGATTACAGTATTATTGAATTATCCGTGGTATGCATAAATGATCAGCTTTCCAAATTATACAAACTATCAGTAGTTATGTACCTCAAAAGGAAAGTCCCGAGAATTAAAAACATATTTGCCACATTTCTGGGCACACATCTAGCCACAGCAACGATCATTGTTGACTTCAGGATTTCACGTCGAGTGGTGGCCAGTCTGTTGGCCTCTTCATAATGAAATCATTGTTTTCATTTGATCAATATTTTTGGTCTTTCCTAAGAAGTTCATCATTGTCTAAAAATTAGCAACTTTTGCTGAAATTGTTATGAACAATATCTGAATGTTACCTCACCGAGCGGATGAATCGGAACAAACGACTCCACATCGTGATGCTGACAAAAGTATTGAAATCCGTTTGATATATCTTACCAAAATTGCCGGAACTGATTACATGAACCGATTACATGTACATAACTTGGAAAGTCTTCCTTTAAATATCTCCTATTTGTCGATTTTTTTATGCTTTCGGTCAGTAAACCTTCGACATTGACACTGTTAACAGCAGCTGTAGATGACATGTGAGGGCAACTGGACAAGATTAAAATTTAAAAATACACGCTCACAAGCAAAATCTGAACTTACATACACCCTAACAAAACGACTCGGCTGAAACCGGAAGCGGGTACGGCATCGCACACATCTAGACAAAATATGCAACTACCATCGATAAATTTTCTGAATATATTGAAATTCCCGCGAAATGCAAAATTTGATTGTATGATTAACTTTTAAGCCCCTTCAACTGTTTACGGTTAATGAATCTTAGTATCAATTGTAATTGTCTTGTTTTCTTTGGTTTACGTTTGTTCGCAATATTGCCGCCTGTGTGTTAAATAATATAATTTTAACGAATCCGAAGTCGTAATGGAGTTAGCGGTCTGTGCATTTCGAATATTATTTTCCACAACAGGGAGATACATAACATGTCAATATGTCATAACAATAACACATTATTGTACTGTGTCTATCGTTACAAGTATATATAATATGGCAATTCTGATAATCGAAGATGTCAGTGCATGATTGAAACGTTTTTTAGTGGAGGACTTGTGCACAGATATGGATGTTTCGAGAAATCGGAACCAGATCTAGTGTAAATAGATTTATGGTTATTGGAATTATGGGATCAAGAAATACTCTATATGAATTCATTGCAGTCAAATCTGTATCTATTTTAGACATTACAATAGGTTAACAGCACATCTTTTCTTCTACAAGTAAGAGCAAAATTGAAACAATTTGGATGCCTCGGAGATTATTGCTTTCAAAGTTTTAATTATACTCAAAGGTATTTCACATCGTTTGACGTGACAACGTCCATTTTTAAATAGAAAAAACCCTCAATTGACAAAATGTATGGATATTGTGAACTTGCACTGATGCAACGAACTGAAACTGCGAATTGCAACCTCATATTTATACCAATCTGCACCTGGTGCATGTTTAGTGTGTGAGGATAGTTTTACGCCCCTTTTGGCAATATTCCAGCAATATCAGGGCGGGGGACACCAGAAGTCGGCTTCACATTGTACCCATGTGGGGAATCGAACCCAGGTCTTCGGCGTGACGAGCGAACGCTTTAACCACTAGGCTACCACACCGCTCCAACATGATGAGGAAGTGGGTAGGCAGCAATGGCACTGATGACCAGTCACAAGGACAGTGATTGAATGAGTGACCGTGACAGTTTATGTCATGAATAATTTTGTTGTAATGAAAATATAACTCATCTATACCAAAACCCAAAGTTGTATAATATTTTGTAATGAGGAGGTGCAACTGTTTTTGTCTGGTGCAACAAGGTTATGACCTATATAGGTTGCACCGGGTGCAAAAAGTTTCATTTACCCATCATGGACTGCCGATTCTGGGTTGCGTATCTATTTCCAGATGTCGCCCTTAGATGTGTTTCTGGTCAAGGTTCCGCCAGATGAGAAAGTTATTTTCTCACCAAATCGTCGCAAGTAGTCCACGTGGGTTTGTATTTTGTAATGGTTCTACCGGGCGAATTCAGTGCTCGTCAGATGGAAACAAGGGACACTGATCATCACTCAGTTGATCAGAGTGAATAAGTGAGTTAGGTTTTACGCCGCTTTAGCAATATTCCAGCAATATCACGACGGGAGACACCAGAAATGGGCTGGTTGATCAACAATGGTTATCGTGCAAGGATATAAAATGAAAGCGGTGGTCATTCAAACTGTCTCTATGTCCTAACACGACTGCGTTGGTCAAGAATGTGATCTTTAGGAACCCATGCTGGTCGTAAAAGGCACCTGACGGGATTCAGTGGTCAAGATTATTGATTTGATTGATCGATGTTCCAGATGTTAAACACTGGATTGTTTGGTCCAGAGTGGATGATTTTGCATACCGCCCTCATACAGGCGGTATTCTGAGAACAGCCTTTGAACAACAAATACAGTATCTACACGATGGCTGTTAATCCATTCGCCATTACTCACATCTCTCCCTGATCTACGCGGAGGATCATTCCCTTCTCGATCATCACCACTCTCGTTCCCTCCGTATTCAGAAGACTCGCCCCAGCGATGAATGTTACAAAATACGACACACCAATCAGAATGCCTGTACAGGTTGGGGTACTTTGGTAATAGTAATTCCATGTAGTTGGTTATGGCAGTATGTGATCGTTAAAGAAATCATGAAAAATACATACAGTCTATATTTAATTACCAAGTACCGCGCTATAGAACATGTTACATGAATTGTAGTAATTGGTAGAGACAGGGCCATGCGAGAGATTCCAATCTTCTCACTTGAGTTTGTTTACATAACGGCTCCAATGTTTCCCAATGAATGTTTTCTCCGACAATTGTTTTGGCCTTTCAAATTTATTCCACTGTAATGTCCATTTTGCTTTGTACTAAATCGTGATAAATATTTTGAAGAAACTGAAATAGCTACGAGTTTGAAAACAATATATATCCTTATCACACTTCTAATTCTTATCATTTATGTTTTACAGATTAAAGATGATATTGCAGCAGAGAGGGTTCGGGTGATCCTGGCACAGTCAGGCTGGTAAGGCTCATTATCAGCTCAGGGCCCTTGCCCCTCAACACGCAGCCTTGACAGCTTAATGGGACTTTTCCCAGGAAGCGCTGCTTAGTCGAACCCACTTAGAATCTTTTCGGAGAATAAGTAGACTCCCCAACACTGCAGCCATCTGCATTAACCAGAGCGTCAGAAGGGCTGTGCGCCCGGTGGAGAACACCGGGCACTCTCCTGATCTGTGCCAAGAGATCAAGAGGTACCAAACAAAGGGCACCGAGAACAACGGGGAGCTTGACGAAAGTGTACTTGGGATGCAAGCGAGACATTTCAAAGGCGAGGTCCGCATAATTATTTTCCACGTTTTTCCTGAATCTTGTTAATCACGTTGCTGTCAAAAGGGTCAGAATATTCAATGATATAAATAACTTCATTGGCTTTATCAAAAAGGACAAGATCAGGTTTGTTGGAAGGAATCTGTCTTAGACTGTATATGGAGTTATTCCAAAGAAGTTTAAAATTGTCACTTTCCATTAATACACAATGTCATTTAGAAAGTGGTCAAATGTAACATTTGTTATACAATGTATTTGGGATTACACTTTCTCAGGTTCTAGTTCTTTTTTGGGGTTGAGTCCCATCCGAGATTCGAACCCACGCCCTCAGAGTCAGGCACCTAATCGCCAGCACCGGTCTAGACAACCAGTTGTCCGACTTGCATTTTAGTGGAAGCCACGGTGGATGAGTTGGTTAGACGGCTGTCTTTGGGAGGTATGTCTGGTTTACTACACCGATGGACACACACACACACACACACACACACACACACACACACACAGAGAGAGAGAGAGAGAGAGAGGAAGGATTGCAGGCTTGGGTGTCCTCCCATTTGTGAGAACTCCCAGTTGTGAGACACATTAATTAATGGTTGAGTGCACCTGGGTAGTGTTTCCAC